TGCATATGATTGAGATCAGTGATTCATTCGAGAAACATGTGGGTTGGAATGTGATAAAAGACCGACAATATTATACAGAGACAATGTTTCATGCATAGTGCTATTAAAGGGAGGATTTATAAAAGGAAATAGAACGAAGCACATTTCACCAAAATTATTCTACACACACGATCTTCAGAAAAGTGGTGACATTGATGTGCAACAAATCCGTTCAAGTGATAATCCAGCAGATTTATTCACTAAATCTTTGCCAACTTCAACTTTTGAGAAGATGGTATACAAGATTGGAATGCGGAGACTCAAATATTTGAAACAAGGTTTTCATCAGGGGGAGTAAAATACGCGATGCACTCTTTTTCCCTTACTAAGGTTTTTCCCATGGGGTTTTCCTTATAAGGGTTTTAATGAGGCACCTAACAATGCGTCTTACTAAATATGTGTACTCTTTTTCCTTCACTGAAATTTTTTTTCCCACGTGGTTTTTCCTAGTAAGGTTTTAATGAGGCACATTATCTTTTAAATGAACATCCAAGGGGGAGTGTTATAAATATATTATATTATGGATGTTCATTTAGTACTCCGTTGTAAATAAGCTTCCTGAAGAAGCTTATCCATATGAGACTCCACCGTAAATATGTTTATCTATTTAGTACTATATTGGAAATAAGCTTCCTGAAGAAGCTTATCACTTCGGTACCCGGTTATGGATAAACATTACCCCCAGTAGAAGTTTATCCATATCGGGTATAATAAGCTTATCTTTTCAGTATCCAGTTATGGATAAACATTACCCCGGTAGAAGATTATTCATACCGGGTATAATATGCTTATCCATTCAGTACTTCGTTATGGATAAATATTGCTCTCAGTAGAAGATTATCCATATCTGGTACAGCAGCAGCTTACACAACATCTTGTAGCAGCTTACACAACAGCTTGTAGTAGCAGCTTACACAGCAGTTTATAGTAGCTTACACTGCAGCTTGTAGTAGCAGCCTACACAGCAGCTTGTAGTAGCAGCTTACAGAGCAGCTTCCTTTCTTCTATAAATAGAAGAGATTTCAGTTCATTATGTACATCAGTTTGAATTCGAATAATATATCAGTTTCTCTCTATACTTGTCTTTACTTTATAGTCTTTGTTTCGTAACAACTGCCAATTTCAAGGGGAGAGAACATGACATTAATAACTAGGATTCACTTTATATGAATCGATATTCTTGTAAGGAGAGAGAAAGAAAATGAAAAGGCACGTGAAATTCTCTTTATCACTCGTAAGAAAGAAGATTATTTTGATACTTACATATATTTGATTTATATTTCAAAAGTTATTATATTTAATTTCTTAAATTTTTTAAAATCAGAGGGATGACTGCCCTATCCGTCACTATAGGGTAAATCTTTTTTTTTTTGAGCTACGGCAAGTGCAACAATAGCTACTTTTAAGCCTGCTATTTAAAATATATACACAATTTATAATGTATTTAAAGATTAACCAATTCACCCAAACTTCATGACTAAGTATCCTGAATTTGGAAATTCAGATCTTAGTTTCCTGAATTTTTGAGTTGCTAATTTGAAATTCAGGACTAAATGTCATGAATTTTTTGAACTGCTAATTTAAAATTCAGGACATAATATTTGAACTTCTGGACATAATTTTCGAACTTTTGTATACGATGTCGTGAAGTTTGAATTTTGAGGTTAAAACTCTAGGGCGTCATGCCCTGAAATTTGAGCGAAATTGGCTAATCATTAGATACATTGTAAACTGTAAATATATTTTAGACAACATACTTAAAAGTGGCTACCCGGTGTCATTTCCACCATCTTAACCAATACCATTTGAAAGCATGAAAGTACACTTTTTAGGAATTTTTTTCTAGTCGATATACATAAATTACATACGGTTACAACAACAACAACAACGACCCAGTATAATCTCACAAGTAGGGTCTGGGAAGGGTAATATGTACGAAGACCTTACCCCTACCCCGAAGGGTAGATAGGCTGTTTCCAGGATAAATTACATACGGTTATACATATATATTAGGCCGGCCTATATATTATATATCCTTTGACTTTTCGTCTAGAATTAAGTTAATTCTTCTAATTTTTTTTATTTTAGATGAGCTACATGACATTTAGAGTAGTATTAACTTTATGTGAGAAAATGGTGGGAGTCAAAATAGTTCCATCTCTCTCTATATATAATATATAATGAGCAATTTTGATCCTATAGGTTTTGTAAAAATAAATATTTTTTATTTTTATTAAATATTTAACAAATTCTACTTGTTAAATGTTACTTATTAGAACCGTGTAATAAACAGGGAGCCCATTTGGATTGACTTAAAAAAGTAACTTTTCAGCCGAAATAGTTTTTAAGCAAAAAAAGCAATAAGTTGGGATTGCCCAACTTGTTGCTTTTGACTTATTTTAAGCGATTTTAAACTTATTTTAAGTATTTTATAGCTTTGTCAAACACCGAAAAAAGCTAAAAAAAACTTAAAAAATTGATTTGACCAACTTAAAAGCCATTTCAAACCGCCTCAGGGATTTAAAATGCAACTTTTTGAGCTAGAGTTTCTCCTACTTTTTATCTATTTTTAATTAATGGCCAAAAATAAAAATATTTAAGGGACAAAAAAAATTAAAGGAAGAAACAGAAGCGTGCTACTTCTGGAGTACATATCTTTCAATATTCGCAGGCGCGTGTGGCCCAGAAATGCGTCAGCTAAGCTGACTTTCCTAATCCGACTTCGGAATGAAAACATTTGTCTGAAAAATCAACCCTATCTAACAAAACTCATTTCATCTCGATTTATCTCTTATACAATTTTCCGGCGATGTCCACGGCAAGAGTCGCCGCCGATGATAACACTTCTAACGCCGACGTTAGCCCCAGCAACGGCGGTGGCGGAGTTGATACGTCACCGCTTCTCACCAATTCCCGTAGCCAGCGTTCGTTCCATCGCCGTCCGAGCCTCCGAGGAGCTGCCGGCTTTCTACGGCGCGCAAGCAGCCGCCGGTTAATGCGCGAGCCATCGATGCGAGTTCGCGAAGCTGCCGCTGAGCAAATCGAGGAGCGACAAAGCGACTGGGCGTACTCAAAACCTATAGTGATATTAGATCTCGTATGGAACTTAGCTTTTGTTATTGTAGCTATCTCTGTTCTTATAATGAGCAAAAATGAGTCTCCTTCTATGCCTTTAAGGCTTTGGATTATCGGATACGCTTTACAGTCTGTGCTTCACATGGTTTGTGTGTTCGTCGAATATAGACGCCGATGTCAGCGACGGAATTCCTCAAGCAGCAGTGGAAATTGGAATAATAGAGAAGTTTCGAACTTGAGTTCGGAAAGTGATGGAGGAGAGTCGGGTGATTATTTACTGGAGAGGCGTCAAAACGAGGACGAAACTAGGTACTGCCGCTGTCCCTTTTTATGTGATATTATTTGACTGAGCACGAACTTTAAAAAAAGAAATTATGTTTGAGACTTGTGTATGATAAATATTTTCAGATAGATAGTTATGCGATTAAAGGGTAAAATGAGAAGTTAATGTTAAATTATTTCTAAATGGAGTATAAAAAAGTGTTATACTTTTCTGGACAAACTAAAAAGGAAAGCGTACCACATAATTGGGAAGTCTCGTAATTATCTACCATAGAGGTGTCAAAATGAGGTTGAAACTAGGTACTCATATTGTTTGACTAAGCATGAAGTTTAAGAAAAAAAGAAATACTTCTGAAACATGTGGTCTAAGATGAGCAATAAATATTTATGTGACTAAAGGCTAAAATGAGAAGTTTAAGGTTAAATTATTTCTAAATATGAAAAGTGTCATTCTTTTTGGAACAAACTAAAAATGAAAGTGTGCCACGTAAATTGAGACAGAGGAAATAACAAAATTTTCAACTACTATTTTAATATTGTCTTCCATGATATATAAGATTATATATAACATATATATTGATGTTGACATTTAAACTGCATACCTGTTCAAACGCTATAATATAAAAAGGACTGAGGGAATATTATCATTGTTGGTAATTCTAGCTAGAGAATTTTGTGGATGCATGTTGATGAAACTCACATAAGAAATTGCTAGATGTTGTTTCTAGCATTAAGTTTGTTGGCTTTATGTTATTAATTGAAGTCTGAAGGTAGTGTCTGAAGAATGGTAGAAAGAGTGGTAGCCCTTGAAAATACTTTTTTTTGGTAACATATTGCCCGGGCCAGCTTGTGCATATTTCAAGTATTCCACCGGGTACCTGCTACCAGCACAGTTACTGGATAACTTTACGCACCAAGGCTTAGGCAGGTGGGAAGAAACCACCTGGTGTTTTAGCCCTAGAAAAAACTTATAAATGAGGGATCAGCAAGTGGATGAGGATAAGTTGTGTCCAATCTAGATTTGGAAGGGTTTGGAATCTTTTTGTGTATTCAGATAGAGGTATCAACTGGTTGGGATAGCCAGAGTAATGCAGAAAAATGACATCTGGATTGTGGATTTATGACAGCTGCAGGTGTTCTTTCTTAGATAGCTTGTTTATGTTTCGCATGAATTTGGCTTTATTATAGGTAATCAAGGCATAAATCTGAAGTGTCAATATTGACCTCTTTGGTTAGAGAGGCACTAGAGGCTTCATTTTGAGCAACAATCTAATGGAGCCTCTCCTATTGGACTAGTGAGTTCTGATCAGTGTCTCAGATTGTTAACTGATTAAAGAAGTGTAGGTTCTGATCAGTGTCTCAGATTGTTAGACTTATACATAAATCATGAGTTGAATTGGCTAATTAACTATATAGTGGTATTGAATTAGTTAGTGCTATGTATTTTGGTATGCTCAAATGATTTACTGCTAGTTTCTCTTTTAATTTTGCATAAAGTCAAGTTTCTTTGGACTTGCTTTTACAATTGGCTCGGTTTGGTGCCGCACAGCAATATTTATCACTTAGTGTAACTCAAAAATAAACTTAATTCAAAACTTCTGGGGTTTAAGTGGCTGAAATGAGCGCTCATGTCGCTGATGCTTTAGTTTTGATTTGACGCAATAGGCTTACTGGCACGTTTGGGCAGTAATGTTCTCTAGGCTGCTGAACAGAATAGTTCAACATGAATCTCAAAGTTATTCAAACTGATACCAGCTCTGGAATACGAAGGTTGTTAAGCATGACTAATAGCCTGTTTGGCCAAGCTTTTTTGGGCCAAAAGTGCGTTTGGCCAAAAATTGAGGTGTTTGGCCAAGCTTTTAGAAGGAAAAAAATGTTTTTGAGGAGAAGCAGAAGCAGTTTTTGAGAAGTAGAAAAAAGTATTTTCTCTCCAAAAGCACTTTTCTGAGAAACATTTTTGAGAAAAATACACTTAGAAGTAGTTTTCAAAAGCTTGGCCAAACACTAATTACTGCTCAAAAGTGCTTTTCAAATTAATTAGCCAAACACAAACTGATTCTCCCCAAAAACACTTTTTTGAAAAGTACTTTTGAGAAAAATACACTTAGAAGTAGTTTTCAAAAGCTTGGCCAAACACTAATTACTGCTCAAAAGTGCTTTTCAAATTAATTAGCCAAACACAAACTGATTCTCCCCAAAAACACTTTTTTGAAAAGTACTTTTGAGAAAAATACTTTTCAAAATAAGCTGATTATAGAAGCTTGGCCAAACATGCTATAAATGGTTGAAACCCTGTTCTTTGTTTCTTATGTTTAGAGAAGAATAAAACTGCATGTCTGTGCCTAATAATGTATCGCTGATTCTTGATTTATTGTTTCAGTGTTGCCAAGCATCTGGAGTCCGCAAACACCATGTTTTCTTTCATTTGGTGGATAATTGGGTTCTATTGGGTATCTGCTGGTGGCCAAACTATGACCCGTGATGCACCTCAACTTTACTGGTTATTTCAAAACTAGGCTCTAGCTCTGCCTCATTTTCTTTTATTTGTACTTTATGTTTACGTGGTTTCTTTTTCAGGCTTTGTATCACGTTTCTGGCGTTTGATGTGTTCTTTGTTGTTATATGTGTTGCTGTGGCTTGTGTCATCGGAATTGCTGTTTGCTGCTGTCTCCCATGTATCATCGCAATCTTATATGCAGTGGCAGATCAGGTATATAATCGTTTTGTCGCATCTATTAACTGTCACGATTCACATCAATCGACTTCCTTTTGACATGTAATTCTCAAATATCAGTTCCAAAGCTATCTCAGTAGTGGAGGACCTAGATTATGGAAGGATTTGCTTGTTTTTGAATTAACAGTATATCATACATGTTTAGTCTTATACCTTTGTTCTTTGTTGCAATTGTCCATGCATTCTCAGCACATAACAATGTTCAGAGATTCTGAGAGTTCTATCTTATATCTTAGAATCTCAGTCATCAAAAACTTATACCTTAGAATCTTAGATGTTTTTAAGATAACCCCTTTGAATTTGTAGTTTTTTTCCGACAAGGTAAGCGGAATTTTATATATGGCATCCAGAAGATGCAAGGGGTATAAAAGAGAGTACATAAAAAAACAGTCAGCTATGAACAAAAAGGAGCTAAGCAAGAGCTAAAGAGCTGACAAAATCAAAAAACTTCATATGACAGTCATTGGGAACTAAATTATGCCAACTATACAACCATAGAAGACATCTAGCCTTAAGCACCATAGTAGGAGTTGATATCCCGTCAAAACACCTGCGATTCCTTTCTGACCAGACACACCAAAAGATGCAGGCAGGAACCATCTGCCAGATTTTCTATGATGGAGTTATCAACTTTCCAAAGAGACCAGCATTCATAGGCTTCTTTGATGCTATGTGGCATAACCCAACTGATGCCAAAAATAGCAAGGAACATGTACCAGATATCTGCAACAACTGAGCAGTGAAGTAGAAGATGGCTATTAGTTTCTAAGTGCGGAAGACACATGAAGCATCTGTTGACACTCAGAATACTTCTTCTGCTTAAATTATCTTGAGTTAATGCAAGATAATGGTCCATAAAAAATTCAAAATTACCCCTTTGAACTTGTAGTTTGCCCCCCATAAAAAATTTTCTTTGTATCTTCCCCTGCAAAGTATTAGTTATGTGTTTGCCACTGAGTATAATGTTATAGAAGAAGGTAGAAAAATGTGGGCAAATGGGTGGAATAAAATTTTTTAATGGTCCATAACCAAATAATGTTACTATTTTAATGTGTAATATTCACTAATCCATTTTGGACCTATTTACGGAAATGGTCACCTTCGATCATCTAATGGACTCTGGTTGAACTCTTATATTTTTTTTTTTGGGAGTAATTAAAAATTTTATTTACAAAAACTGAGGAATATTTACAGCTCAAGGAGAAGAAGAAAAAAGGCGCTAGAACTGGACATGAAGCCCAGTTCCTAGTATATCAGTAGACCTCTATTTACCCTCAACATCACTACTCAATCTTAATAAAACTAGAAGGAGAAGTATTAAGCTTCGGGGGACACCCTGTTAGTTTAGGGATCAGACTAGCTCTGTAGTACACTTCCTGGATAACCATCTTTGCAATTGCTTCCTCTGATCTCATCTTGCTTTGAAAGATCCTATTGTTTCTTTCCTGCCACAAGTAATACACAGCTGCTGCCAAGGTAGTTCTGTATATGAGTATATCCCAGCACCCCCACTTTTGCCTTTGCAGTTTGCACACCTTTTCGGCCCATTGCAATTCATCTGTCCAGCGCATGTTGTGTCTGAAAATGCCCTGCCATTGTAGTAGTTGTGTCCAAATCTTCCCAGTTACAGCACATTCAAAGAACAAATGCTGAATAGTCTCATCTGCTGAATTACAAAGTGGAGATAGTAGACTTGTGTGAATGCCCCATTTAGCAATCCTGTCCCTAGTAGTCAACCTCCCATGTGCAGCCAGCCTGAGTATGAAGATCCACCTAGGGGAACCATGGTTGTTACATACAATTTTTCTTCAAGTTACTTTCTGGAAGTCCCCTTGTAGTCTCTTATTTGTTTTCGTCTAGTTATTATGCAAGATTATAAAAATTTAGGGAGGGGGATTTTCTCTTGATCTTTTGCTCTGTAATGCAGGCTTTCTGTATGAGTTTTCACCTTTTTGGTTCTACTATCATCTAACTTGATTAACTGTTGAAACTAAGCAATTTAAATATTGATTTCCCCCTCTTGGCTCCAAATTTTGGAAGTGTACAATAATACATAGTCTTGTGCATTTATTTCTTTTAAGTTCTTTTTTTGTTTGCAGTAGTTGGATAATATCAAATTTTAAGTGATTTTTTTTCTTAAAATAAATTACTCTATTTCATGAAAGAAACCTTCAAAATATTTGTGGTTAGGGAAAAAAAAACAATTTTATTTTAGCTTTTAGTAAATTCTGTGATAAACTGATAGTTTTGGCTTGAGAATATTTGGAAACTCATTAAAATGCATACTGTGTATTGTTAAAAAAAAAAACAGATTTAGTAGCATATTATGTTTTGGGGACAACTATTCCTTTAATCTGTTGTTGAGTTAGAGCTCCTTGTTATCCATAAAGTAAGGGAAAAAAAGGCTTTCAATTTGCAGTAACATATTGGTTTTTGTCAATATGGTTCAAAGAATTGTTGCAAGTTGTGTTAGATTATCCATTTGTTTGGGTTATTTCATACTTCCAAGTTTGGCTCAGAAACTTAAAATGCGGGAAGGTATGTGCAATCAGCCGTGTTGGGGATTTTTCTTGTGCAGCCTTTTGTCAAGACCTTTTAGTTCATTGCTGCTGTCTTTTAATTTCCTAATAAGAAAGAATTTCTCTAACATAGTACAATACCATATCCTCACTATATTGCTGAAAGGTAATATAGATGTGCATAATTTTAGATAAGAGTCAAAATAATCGAAAAGTTGTAGTGCGAATCTGTGCAACCTTGCGCATTTAAATACAATTTCGAATCTCTGCAACCTTGCACATTTAAATACAATTGAAATTCCAACTCTTGCCTGAATCCCGTGACTAGTCAAATCAGATCACTTTCATTGGGATGGAGTCAATGCTTTTCTTGTCACCGGGAAGTTCTCGATATCTTTCTCATAAAATGCTTATCTTTGAAACAGGAGGGAGCAACTAAGGAAGATGTTGAAAGACTGACCAAATACAAGTTCCGGAGACTTGGTAACTTTGAGAAAGAGAATGGCGAGATTCAAGAATCATTTGGAGGAGTAATGGTTGAATGCGACACTGATACACCTACTGAGCATGTTCTCCCACCGGAAGATGCTGTATGTATTATAAAACACTTGCCTTTTCTAGGCCAAGAATTTTCCATTAAGCTTCTCAAACTCTCCTAGTCCTAGAAGTTACATATGTTCTTTACGTTTGCAGGAATGTTGCATTTGCATTTGTTCCTATGAAGATGGAGCTGAGCTGCGCGAGCTCCCTTGTCGTCACCATTTTCATGCAGCGTGCATAGACAAGTGGTTGTATATAAATGCTACCTGTCCTCTTTGCAAGTTCAATATACTCAAAAATGGAAATCAAAGTGGCAGTGAAGAAGCATAAGCAAGCCGACCACTTACGCGTCCCTCAAAGTAAAGATCTTGGTGTATTTCTAGGTGTTGGATCTCCTCTTGGACCTGAAGTTCTTCTCCAGGTTCGACTTTCAGGCAGCCCAGCACTTGCTTCTGCTCTCATAATGTTAATGTATAGGCTGTGAGTTTTCGTGTTCCATATATTATTTCAGTAGAGGGGGCAGCAAATTTGCTTTTACCTTATGTTTGGTTTCTTCACAGATATTTCTCACAAGCATAAGTTATGTAATCAAGTCATGTTGATGTTTAATGCGACTCTGTTGTGTCAAAATCAAGGGAAGATAAAGATCAAAAGTTACCTTAGCAACGAAATAAACACACGACCAACATTACTTTTTTAAAAGTTGTCTTTCAGTTGGTGAAATAGGAGTTTGCGAAGGTTAACGAGTATTTATTTGAACTGTTGAGGAATATAGTGATTTTATAGAGTAATGATGGCATGATTGGGTGTAGTAGCTATTATTGTAATGATATCACATTTTGAAAAGGCAATAGCTCGTGTTTAATATATTTGACTTATGAATCAAAAGTCTTAGCTCCAAAAGATTATGGTGGATGGATAGGATTCCTCGGTCCTTAACTAAACTATGTGGGTAGTTAATTCCAATTAGTGAATTCTAGAAGGAAAGTTGATATCTTTGGCTGGGGAGCCCTAAGATCAGAGACCTATCTTCAAGATGTAAATTACAGGTACATAGCAAATATGTTTGGTTTTCAAGGACAAGTTATGTGTATATCAATGTAGAATTCTTGCAATCGACCCAAAAGTTGGATGATCGACTTATTTGAACATAAGCAGAAGTGGGGCTTTTGCATCTATACCCGGTTTTGGGGTCACAATTGAACTTATATCCACTTTGCAAAAAGGTTTGCAAGCGTACCTACTTTACGAGCAACTTTATTCTTATCTGATCTGAAATTAAAAAAAAAAATTGGTCTGAAGTGAAAAAATTGCACTTTAAATGCACTTAAGGCCAAATAGGTTTGAAGTACAACCAATGGTTTCATGCACTTAAGTCTAACAAGTCTAAAGTGAAAAATTACACTTCAGATGCACTTAAGGCCAAATAGGTTTGAAGTGTAACAAATGGTTTCATGCACTTAGGGCCAATAATTCTGAAGTGAAAAATTGTCCATCATATGCATTTAAGGCCAAAAGATCTGAAGTGCAACAAACGTTTTGCTGCACTTAAGGCCAATAAGTCTAAAGTAAAAAATTGCACTTCAGATGCACTTAAAGCCAAAAGGTCTGAAGTGCAGCCAATATTTTTATGCACTTAAGGCCAAATAGGTCGGAAGTGCAAAATGACTCGAAACAAAAATTTGTTTTTCGAATTATAACAATCCAATATACGATTTATCATTTCCAAATGATACGACTTAAAATATAAATGTTTACCACAAGTTTTTTATTCTCTTATACTATTTATCCAAACTAATGGCTAAGTAATGTAGCAAAAGCCAAGAGTACAAATATAATTACTCACGCTTTTGATTCCCCTGCATCATCTTCCAGACTAAGACATCATCTTCTAAGACTTATCCTGCAAAATCATTCAAATTAATGAAAAAACAAAAAAGAAAAGAAAAAGAACAATATGGGACTTACTAGTTGAAAAAGCGAGCAGTGAACTCTAAAGGTCCCTAAAGGATCATAACTGAAATTTAATAAAAACAACACATATCAGAAAAGGTCCGTCCAAAACACTAAAAATAGTCAATACAAAATCTTACGTTGTGTTTTCATGCCCTTCCATATTCTGAATGTTTAATCCCTTCAACTTTAAGAGAAGTTGATTATAGGAACATCCAAGCAAATGAGAAAACAACTTCATAACTCTCGTAAAGCCTTATCAGCAAAACGATTGCCTTTGTAGTGTGCCTTGTAATTCCTTAAAAATCTTATGATTCCAAAGGCCCTCCTATACATTTTAGGTTCTATGTCCTCATACGTCTGGCGTGCAATTTTCGGCTACCGTCTAACACCAAAGATATTGAGAAAATTAGTGCGCGGGAGACGGTAGCCTTAGGGTGTGCAATTTTCGGTATGACGAAGAACCTATTGATGAAACTAGTGGCGGTGAGGCAAAACGACTCAAAGTCGATGAGGATAGTAGTGAGTAGCTTTAGTAATCATTATATTTTTGACTTTAAGACAAAGAAGCTAAAGAATATTTTTTTTCTTAATTCAAAGTCATGTAAGGAGTTTTGAAGCTTTTGCTTACTTTGTACATGGTGAAAAATATTCACCAATTGTCCGTCCTTTCCCTTATGACTTGTACACATGATCGAAATTGAATTTCGGAAAGTTCAGAGTTGATTTGGAAAGAAAATTTTCAATTCGGAAGCTTTAAGGTGAAAGAATGGACTATGATTGGATTTTGAGTAAACGACCTTGAAATTGGAATTCGAAGGTTCCAACAGTTTTGTATGATGATTTCGGACGTGAACATATGTCCGGATCGGATTTTGGAAGACCCGGGAACGTTTCGGAACATATTGTGGAAGTTGGCATTTTTGAAAGAATTTCATAAGTTTGGGTTGAAGTGCTTATCAGTGTTATCGATGTCCGTTTGGGATTACGAGTCTGGAAATAGCTCCGTATGGTGATTCTGGTATTGGGAGCGCGATCAGAAGTGAATTGGGAGGTCCGTGGGTCATTTTGGAGTCATTTGACTAAAGATAGATATTTGAAGGCTTTTGATGAGTTTGATCGGAAGTGGACTTTTTGATATCGGGGTCGGATTCCAATTCCGGAAGTTGGAGTAGGTCCATAATGTCGAATATGACTTGTGCACAAAATTTGAGGTCAATCGGACGTGATTTGATAGGGTTAAGCATCAAATATAGAATTTTAAAATTCTAAAGTTCATTAAGCTTGGATTGGAGTGTGATTCATGGTTTTAGTGTTGTTTGATGTGATTTGAAGCCTCTACTAAGTCCGTGATACGTTTTGAGACTTGTTGGTATGTTCGGACGGGGTCTCGAGGGTCTCGGGTGAGTTTCGGGGTGATTTCGGACCATATCTTGACCATTTTAAGATGCTGGTTTTGGTACAACAGTCGGAAGGGCTTTCGCGATCACGTAGAGGAAAGTTTCTGCTGCACTGATACGACTTTGGAAGCTTGTATCTCGCAATATACAAGGAATTTGAAGATGATCCAAAAACTAAAGTTGTATCCCTTTGTGTCTAGTTTTCAGAAAATTAAACTATTTGGAATTTGGAGTTGTTTAAAAAACGTTATGAGTGTTACACTACAGACTATCTGGAAAGAGTTTGGAAATAGCGAAGAAGAAATTTGTGTTGCACAGGGCTGATTTTCGAAGCTTATATCTTGTAATCTATAAGGAAATGATAGATGAACAAAGAATGGAAGTTGTAGTCCTTGAAGTCTAGTTTTCAAAAAGTTAAACCATTTGCAATTTAGAGTTTTGTACAAAACGTTATGGCAATTATACTAGAGACTGTCTGGAAGAGCTGGGCATTTGTTCTTCGCGATCTTGCAGCATTTTCCGCGATCGCAAAAGGCAAATTTTGGGTTGAGAAATGTTGTGCTTCGCGATTGCGAAGCAGTTTTCGCGATCGCGAAGAGTAAACACCTAGGCAGAAGCTATATTTCAAGGTTTCAGTCATTTTTATCATATTTGGAGCTATGGAGCTCAGATTGAAGTGATATTTGGGCGATTTTCACAATATGGATTGGGGTAAGTGTTCTATATCCAAAAGTAATTATAATTCATGATTCTATGGTTATATTCATCATTTATTTCGAATTTAAATGGAAGAAATCAAGATTTTTGTAAAACTTTTCAAGAACGAAAATTCAAGATTTGGAGGTCAAGTTATTATCGGAATTTGATAAAATTGGTATGGTTGAACTCGTATCGGAATGAGTTATCGGATTTTGTGAGTTTTTTCAGAATCCAGGCACATGGGCCCGAGGGCAATTTTGTCAACTTTTCGAACGGAGTTAGGAATTTATCTAAATTGAATTGTTGTGAGTATTAGAGCATATGTTTATGGATTTTCTCATTTATTGGCTAGTTTGGGAGCGTTGTGCATCGATTTGAGTCGTCGGAAGGGCTTGAAAGCCGGTTTTGGAACTTCAGAGCGAGTGAGTCTCTTTTCTAACCTTGTAAGAGGGAATTATCCCCATAGGTGAATTAATTGAATATGTGCTCCTATTTGTGGGGTCTACGTACGCACAAGGTGACGAGAGTCCATGCGTAGCTACTATTATTCATAAGCCCGGGTAGTTTAGGACCCAAAAGCATGCTCTAGTTGTAATATTTGGAATCTTGTTGTCGATTTAAACATGCTTAAATCATATCGAATTAGTAAATGAATTTCTAAAGGAATTAAACATCATTTCATTGATCGTTAAAGAGAATTGCTATTTCTTTGGGTAATTATTTTTCCCTGATGAAGTCTTGATTGACTGTTTGAATGCGTGCTTCTATGTGTACCTGCGTCGCATGTATGATTCGCGAGCGGGGTGCTTGTTTATTTATATTTGACCGCGTCACATGTATGATTCACGAGCAGGGTAATATATGCATCTATGATTCGCGCCGTTCAACCCTCAGCAATGCACATGTTACATTTATGTTGGATCGGGCCGTATGACCTCAGCATGATATGCACATTATTGTACTGTTTTCCTAAGATTTATAAATGTTGATATTTGCATTTCCTGGCCAGAGATAATCGATAAAGATAATGAAAAGTAAATCTTTGGAAATCCTTTATTGTTTGAGAAATTGTTTACCTGCTTTCCGGCTTTCCGATTTTAATCATGGCAGTGTTCCCAATCAATGTGGGGAATATTATGGCCAAAGTTATTACTGGAGCAATTGGCAAGTATGAAAGATCGTATCCCTTCCCCAACTTCATCACCATGTTCTTAGAGGACCAGGGTGTAGAAAGGAGGGACTTCGACACCAAAGTGAAACCCAAAAGGCCATTCTCCTGGTACAACCTTCAGGGTCCAGACAACCTCAAGTCAAAGGGAAAAGCCACCACCTCCACTGGCTAGTCTGAAGAGCCAGAGGTGGTGGCCACTAGGTCCGAGCCTTCCACATCCGAGGGGTCATCTGCTGTCATGCCACATCCACCCTCCGGGTCATTTGCTTCTATTCCTCTATCAGTTCCTTCTTCATCAGCATACCCTCAGACTGCTTTAAGCGTAAACAAGATAATGGCTGGTATCAACAACTAGCTGCAGGTAGCTACATCAAAGCTATCTGCCTTATCCACTGCCGTAGCAGCTTAGACAGTTCTAGCACAGCTCCAGATGCCTCCATCATTGGAGGAATCATTGAAGACTATTCTTGACAACAAAAGAAATATTCTGGAGTCTTTGGGAACTTATGAGAAGGCAATCAAAGCGCTGGGTAAACAAGTGGGGAAGGTGAAGAAGGATCAAGAAGAGTTGAAGAAGGAGGTGGCGAAGCTCAGTACAACCGGTGACATTCCTCTGGATCTCCTTATGGGAAAGTCTGCCCCTACATCACAGACAACTCAGCCATCACAGGTGCCAGAGCAGGAGGCTACCAGAGAGCCGGTGAGGAGAGTGGTGATACCCCAAACGGAGGACCTTAATATTCAGCTGGAGGACCCCGAGGGGGGTGATGATTGTCACACCTCATTTTTCCGTCCTCGCGATGGGTGAAGGTTTTTTTTTCCAATTAAAGGACAATCGAAACGAGATTTGTTTGTTTATTTCAGAGTCGCCACTTGGGAGATTTAGGGTGTCCCAAGTCACCAATTTTAATCCCGAATCGAGGAAAAGAATGACTCTGTATTACAGTCCGCGAACCAAAAATCCGGATAAGGAATTCTGTTAACCCGGGAGAAGGTGTTAGACATTCCCGAGTTCCGTGGTTCTAGTACGGTCGCTCAACTGTTATATTCGGCTCGATTATCTGATATAATACATATTATAACTTATGTGCAAATTTTATCCTTTAGCCGCTTTTATTATTATATTTTAAAAGAATATGAACATCGTTTAAAAACATGTCTTTAGATTGCGTCACATGAAATGCACCCGCGATCCGGAACGCATTTTTATTCAATGTTTTGGGATTTGGATTTGGTTCGCATAAATTCACACCCGAGTTTAAGAGGGTAAGATTATTAAAATGCGCGCCACAACAATTAGCGTATTATTATTTCTGGGTAAGGCCGTGGAATTTTGCTAAAACGGCTCATCCCGAAGTCTAAGTAATTTTAATTAAGCATTTATCGAGGGCCTCGCAATTTGTGTGTTTTATTGGGCGAGGCTCATCTCATTTATTTTAAAAGGATAATCCTAAAGTGCCTACATTTTTTCTATTAAAATTGTCTCTACAAAATGAAAGAGAAAAAGGTCTTAATTTATTTACATGCTTGAGTTGTTATATTTGGGTTTCGAATATGATTCATAAATTCTAAAAATGATGCAAGCGGGGCAATCTGTTGCCAATGCGGGCCCAGGCTCAACGTGTATGGCATAAACTGGACCTGGGCCATCTTATTCACATGTTACTACCTAGTTACATTATACTAGGCATGTTCACAGTTTGTCAAATTAAAAAAAAACTTAGCAATCTAATTTTAATTCTAAACCATTTACATGCTGAAATTAACCAATAGTATTTAACTAAACAACATTCCTACAAGTTCCTAAATGGTCTATTCGTTTGATGAACTAACGTGCTTTTTGAGACATGATAATCATCCAACAATAACGAATTAACTAGACGGAGTTACTACACCATTTATTTATTTTTTAGGCAATATATAGATAGTTCGTCTGTTAAGCTATCGTCAGATGTTCCACTATATATATTAACAGCTACATGATTCTGATTAGAGTAAGCTAAATAATTTATATATACAAATAAAATTCAGAATATAATTAAAATAAATTTAGAACTTCAACTCTTCATTTTTTTGTATTCATGCTTCATGTTTCAGTTTACAATAATCAGCGTGTCAGTTGTGTACCTGATATTGGAAGCAAAAGAAAAGGGAGATCAACAGAAATTCAGTAGCATACAACAACGGCAACACCCAGCAACCAGCAATGAGAAACCTGTGACGGATTTTAAAACTCAAGATAAAAAAAATCCAGAAAACACCAACAACAATCAACGGACAGAAGCCAAGGGAATCTTTTCAGATTTGAAAGACTAATTAATGTTCAACCCTTAATTTCTGAATCCGTATATCAGAATATTTAAATTGTATATCAGGTGTATACTATTCTTCTTTTGAATTTCCGGAATGTTTTTCTTTTTATTTTTGGAGTCTTAGTATTTTCAGAATTTTTCTCTCTCTTTAATATCCAGCTCTTTTTTTTTCTCTATCTCTCTCTCTTCTTTTTTCTTTCTTCTCTGTCTCTATTAAAATCTGATCAAGTCTCTTATTTATTCCCATCCCAAACCTTTTAATCAATTAATAAAACAACCACTTTCTCCTACCAAACCCATTACTAATTAAAAAATACAATTATAATTTATTTAAACAACTTTTCTTGAGCCCCGCAATCCCATTATGTCTTGTTCCCCATGCTTACATTAAGCAAATACATTATTCCCACCATTATATTTTATCTCCCCATTATTGATTATTTTAATATTATTTTAATCCTAATTGACAGAGCACTCAAAATAAATAATTGTTCAGAATTTTAATTCCAAAAATACCCCTCTGACCTTACTGAAATTACCATTTTACCCCTGAACGTACTGCAAATTACCAAACTACCCCCATCAGCTATAACCAATTCACCTAATTAATTTCAACCAAAATACAGCAAATATGACCAATTTCTAAACAATTTTCAACAACAAATTCAAACTAAATGATGAACAACAAAGAAACAAATAAAATCATTTTTATTGAACAATATTTTTAACAACAAAGAAACCTACTTTCAGATTCAACAACAACAACAACAACAATAACAAACAAGTATATTCAGATTTCTAAATTCAATAATTATTTGAACTTAAAATTAAATCCAACAACATTACAACAAAGATGAATGATTCAAAACGAAGCTATGTTGCACTACTACGGGCAGATTTCAGACTATGATTGACACACAGATGCAAGGGACTAAACTAACTGTATTGGGAATAAAATCGTGATTTAACTTAGACAAAACCTGAACGAACAGGGAACCAAACAACGTGATCAACAACAAAGAGCAAACTGGCACCATTTCAACAAATAACAAACTACAACAATACAAATATACAAACCAACTAACGAAAACGAGATAATATGACAATTAATGGAGACAAACGACTATGTAAAACTTCTTATGTGATTCAACTATTAAACAAACAAACATCACAAATGAAAGGGCCAAGATATCAGTATCACGTGAGTCATAAAACTGGAACGAAGGAGATCAAACAAAACAACTCATATACCCACGACGCAAGATCTGAAAATCGAAAGATGAGCAAAGTTAGAATATGACCTTCTTAATAGAAACTTCTTCATTTTCAACATCAAAGAAACTCCATTGAAAAGATCGATTTTTGAATCACGAATGGAACTAACGAACGAGCGATCTCGTCGGATCCGAACTCAAACTGGCGACTGGACATGAACTCGAACGGACGATCCATGACTGGACGATCTCGTCTCTTGCAATGAGGACGATGGGTGAGGGTGATGTGTGATGAAGAAAGCTGAAGCAGTAGCAGCATGCTGCTGCCACGCTGCTGAAACAGTAGCAGCACGGGAGCAACAACTATGGAGAAAAAGAACGGAGCAGCAGCGGCATCAATGGAGAAGAACAGTAGCAGCCATGGACGACGAACGCAGCAGCAGCAGCACGACGGAGCAACAGCGGCAGTGAAGCAGATCGACGAAGAAAAAACAGCAACGGGCTTCAGCAACATCTGGATGCATCCATGGTAGCAGCGAAGCGACGAAGAAGAAGCAACCAACAACGACGAAGAAGATGATGGTGGAGTGAACGAAGTGAAGATGTCGAAGAAGAAGAAGACGCAGCAGTGTGTGTATTTCGTTGTGTGTGTGTGTATGTGTGTGTGTGTGTGTGTGCGGAAGGTGAAGGANTAAGTAATAATTAAGCATGAAATTGTACAATTGGACATTAAATGCTAAAAATGCAAAAGATGCCTATTTTTGTGATTTTTATTTTTTTGTAAAACAAACTTAATTACTAACAATTGTAGGATTAAATCCTAAATGCAAATGCGACATATTTTTGTATTTTTTATTAATTTAACAAATAAACATGCGCAGACAAATGCAAATAATTATCCAAAAATACCACAAAAATTAAAAAATTGCACACCAAGGAAAATTGTTTTATTTTGAATTTTTTGGGAGTAATTCTTTCATAGGGCAAAAATCACGTGCTTACAATGAGTTTGGACAGCCACAGGACCCCACCAGTGACCCCATGCAGACAGAGGCCTCATAGAGAGTTTTCTTTACTCTCTATCTCTCCCATATTCTATTTTTGCTTTTAGCATTGAGGACAATGCTAATTTTTATTTTGGGGATGACCTTATTTTGATATGATGATTTTGATGATTGGTCTGTAATAACTTTGATACTACATTTCTTTATTTTCTACTTATCGTACTTTTATTTTCATACTTTTGCACTTTCGGTATGTATATAAAATTATCATTTCATGTATATATTCATCCCTATTTTGTGTATATTCATTTCAATCCCTTGTTATACATATTCATTTTACTTTCCGTAGTTTTACTTTATAGTTTCTTATTTCCTTTAGTAACTTCTTTTTGAATTTTTAGCTTCTTTACATTTTTTCGTGATCACTATGGCAAATTTACAAAGAGAGAAGATGAGATAAATTATGGCTCTTTCTTTAGCAATGTTCGAAGAGAGAAGAAAGAGAAAAAATGAATTTAGGATTATATGTTGGTGAGTTTATAAAAGGGGTTGAGATAAAATTATTGTTTTTTACCGTTGAAAAGCCATGTCAACCTAAAAATGAAAAGTTCACGCGCTCAATATAAGTGGCACTCACGTTTTATTCCAGGTAAGTGAACAATATTTAATAGATACATAAGTCAATAAAGACAGGTAGTCAATAGGTACAAGGCCAAATTGAGGTAACAAATTGATAGAGTGAGCCAAGTTTAGGTAGCTGTCTAGGTATTCTACCAAATGAAATGCATCATTTGCTTGCAAGCATGAAAGAGAGATGTCTTATGTATTTTATGATCTTTATTATGTCATTTAATTTTATCAGAATTCTTCTTTTTGCTAAAACAATGCACTGTTGCAAAAAACAAAATTACTAGCAGATAAGAAGGATGTTGAAGCTCTCAAAGAACTCTCACTTATAGAGGTACAAATCTGTCTTTAGTTGCTAGAGTTTGTAAGTTTTGCATGTTTCTTTCTGACAACAATTTCAATGTTTTCAGGTCGATAAATTTATGTCCCTATGGAGTGGTGGTAAGCCATTTAGGGATGATTGTGAGCGGAGAATTTTGACACACTCGATATTAGGCAGTTGAGCCGAGATGGCAGGATGAGTAACCCAGACGAAAAGCCTCTAGTGTTACTAGTTGAACTGTTAATTAGTTAGTTAATGGTTGTTATTGTTGTTAATTAAGGATAGATTAGTCTTTTCTCTCTTAAATAATTTTTCTACTTCTTTGTATCTTGTATATATCGACAGTGCTCAAGCTAATAAAATAGTGGCTCATTTCCTTCTTCTCAATTCTCTGTCTTTATCCTTGCATTGCTTGTAGAAGTTTCCTCCATTAGAGCCCCTCATTCATCTCTGAATTTTGGCATGGTATCAGAGCAACGTACCTGGAGTAAAGTGCGCTAGATCTCTGAATTTGTTCGTTTGTTCTATCGATTGATTAATTTGTTGAAGCTCGTCGAGTTTCATTCATGGCAGAAGCAGATTCGTCGATGTCGGAGATGGAAACAATCGATCCCAATCATCTATTATACATCGGACCGTCCAATACTCCTAGCTCAGTCGTTGTACCCGTGAAACTCACATGCTCCGAGAATTATGGACTCTAGAGTAGATCGATGAGAATCGCACTCTTAGGGAAGAAGAAATTAGGGTTCATTACTGGGGAGATGTAACAGAAGCACATATAAAGGAGAGTTGCTGGAGCAATGGGAGACATGCGATGCCATCGTTCTCTCATGGATTATAAACAACGTAGCACCAGAGCTTTTAGGTGGAGTTGTGTATGCATTTGATGCACATCTAGTGTGGGAAGACCTGCAACAAAAGGTTCAATAAGGTAAATCGCGTTAGGATTTTTCAATTACATCACGAAATTGCCACATTATCTCAAGGAACTAGTTCTATCTCAGTGTGTTTTTTAAAATTTAAGGAATTATGGCATGAATATGATGTTTTGGTTCCATTTCCTAATTGCTGTGAGAAATCAAAAGAACATGCAAAGAATTTACATCAACAAAGAGTTATGCAATTCCTATCTTGTTTGAATGAGTCGTATGATCAAGCTAGAAGACAGATTCTCATGAAAACTAATGCACCTAGTCCAAACCAAACTTATCTCATGATAATACAAGATGAGAGTCAACATAATATACGGGTAAATGCTATGACTTTTGATGGTGTAGAACTATTAGCTATGCAAGCAGGATGAGGAAGAGGAAGGAGACAATACCTACAGTGTGATTTCTGTTATCTCAAGGGACACACTAAGGAGAATTGTTATAAGATTGTTGGTTACCCAGCTGATTTTTCCCCTAGAAGAAGATATGGTGAAGGAATAAGAACTCAAGGTGACTGGCAATAGAGTTCTGGTTATGGAAATCAAAATAGTTGGAATAGGATGAACAATGGTAAGTCTAGATGAACAATTTCAATGCAGGTAAACAAAATGGCAATGGTGGCAATACTGGCAATGGTGGGAATATGGGTAACCCGGTTGGCTGGAGAAAAGAGCCCATGGCTATGATTAACAATGCAGGTGCACATTCTATACAGGATATGGGTGATGGTCCCTCTGGAGCTGTTGAGCACAAGGGATATCATTACTTCTGAAATGATCAATACAATCAGATTTTGAACCTCTTGAACAAGGAATCAAGTCTGAGTGCAATGTGGCAAACATGGCAAATGCAGGAGCTGAAGTAGGTGAGGTTAATTGTCTGATGAGCAACCTCACACAAGAATCACATAAGAAGGAATGGGTTGTAGATTCAGGTGCTACCCATTACATTACTTCTGATTTAGAAATGTTATCAGATGTTAGGTGTACAAGAAAACTAATAGGGATAAAGTGCATCTTCTAACTGGAGAATAGGCAGATATTACTCACATTGAAAGTGCAACCTTATTAGACAAAAGAGAAATCAAGGATGTGCTTTATGTTCCTAACTTCAAGTTTAATTTGCTCTCAGTAGCAAAGCTAACAAAGGAACTAAAGTGTATTGCAAATTTCTTCCCTGATTTCTGTGTATATCAGGATCTTTGGAATGGCAAGGTGAAAGGGATTGGTAGAGAAAGAGGAGGCCTATATATGCTTAGAGGATTGCTCAACAGAACAAAAGCACTCAATGCTGTGAACAAGACAAACAGAGATACAATTGAAGTTTGGCACAACAGACTGGGTCATCCATCTGCATCAGTAATGAAGCATATAGTAGGCTTAAACAATAAGAACAGTAACATGTTGCATGCAAACTGTCTGATATGTCCATTAGCAAAGCAAACTATATTGAAGTTTCCATTTAGCAATTCAAGAGTAAAAGTAGCATTTCATCTTGTACACATGAATTTGTGGGGACCATATAAGATTGTTACCTTTGATAAGAAACAATATTTCTTAACAATTGTAGATGATTACTCTAGGTATACATTAGTACTTTTTTTGCAGCTAAAATCTGAAGCAGTAGTGGCAATAAAGAATTTTATTGCCATGGTTCAAAATCAGTTTGGAATTGTGATTAAAGTGATAAGATCAGACAATGGATCTGAATTTTTAATGCTCACTGTTCAGAGTTGCTGACAGGTCTTGGTATAGTTCGCCAAAGTAGCTGCCCTTATACTCCACAGTAGAATGGAATAGTGTAAAGGAGGCACAGGTATATACTTGACACTGCAAGGGTTTTGAAAATTCAAGGATCAATTCCAATCAGATATTGGGAGATATGTGTAAAATCAGTAGTATACTTGATTAACAGGTTGCCATCAAGTGTTCTAGGGGCAAAACTTCATATGAGTTGTTGCACCACAAGAAGGCTAATATCACACACTTAAGGAGCATAGGGTTTTTGTGCTATGCAACTAGTTTAGTCAAGGCAGACAAGTTTGCAGATAGAGCCAAATCAACCATCCTTATGGACTATTCAAAGACACAAAAAGGTATATTTTGCTTGATCTGGTCACAAGGCAGTTTTTTACAAGTAGAGATGTTGTATTCATGGAATCAGAGTTTCCTTTTTCAAAAAATGAGGGAAACAAATCATATGATGTACAAGATTCCATGGAACAAGGAACATTGCAGTTTACACCTCTACACACACAGCTAGCGGGAGATATGAATCTACATGGAAGAAGGGTGATATGAAAGAGAATGTGTCAATCTTGCATGGGACAGATACTAATGATATGCAAGATATCTCTCAAGGAATATATGACATTATTTTATTGATACAGGTAAACAAAATGATACCGTAGGTGCACAAAATGATGAACTTCAAGAAGATGCTGAAATTTTAATCAACCAGCAGGAAGGTGAAGGTGAAGAAATCTCAAGATCAAGAAGAAAGTCTACAAGAGAAGTCAGAGAGCTAATATGGATGAAGGATTATGTTACAACAAAGAAGACAAACAGCTGCACCTATCCTATTTCAGACTACCTATCATATAAACATACTAGTACAACCTATCAATGCTACTTGGCAAAATTCTCTTAGTTAACAGAGCCACAAACATTTAAGGAAGCAGTGAAGGACAACGAATGGATAGAAGCCATGAAACAAGAAGTGAAGGCATTAGAAGACAACAAGACATGGAAAATAGTGAGCTTACCAGAAGAGAAAAATACCGTTGGATCCAAATGGGTGTATAGGATCAAATTTAAGGCAAATGGAGAAGTAGAAAGATTTAAAGCAAGGTTGGTAGATAAAGAATATAGTCAAACAGAAGGATTGGACTACCATCACACTTTTTCACTTGTGGCCAAAATGGTCACAATGAGATCTGTTATTGCACTAGCAGCATCAACAGGTTGGAACCTATTTCAGATGGATGTCTATAATGCTTTTTCTCAAGGAGATTTGATGGAAGAGGTGTATATGGAGTTACCTGAAGGTTTCAGAAGGCAAGGAGAGCAGAAGGTGTGTAAGCTACTCAAGTGCTTATATGGACTAAAGCAGGTATTTCGACAGTGGAACATCAAGTTAACTGAAGCCCTGCTAAAGGCAGGATTCAAGCTGAGTCATCATGATTACTCACTCTTCACTTTGAGAAGTCAAGAAGGGATAGTGATTATTTTAGCATGATCTCCTCATAACTGGGAGCAATTCAACACTTGTGAAGAAGGCAAAAGATATATTGCATCAGAATTTTAAGGTGAATGATCTAGGAGAACTAAAATACTTCTTAGGTATTGACGTTTGGAGATCAAGAGATGGAGAATTGCTGAATCAAAGAAAATACATACTAGAGTTAATTTCAGAAATGGGACTGAGTGGAGCCAAACTTGAAGCACACCATTAGAAGTGAATTCAAGAATGAAAACAGTAGATTATGATCAGGCAAATGGAGCCACATGAGATCTACTTTTGCAGGATGTCAATTCCTACCAAAGACTAATAGGAAGACTTCTCTATGTTACTATTACCAGACCAGATATCAACTATGCAGTGCAAGCATTAAGCTAATTTATGCAAGCATCAAAGAAATATCACTGGGATGCTGCCTTGAGGGTTGTAAGATATTTGAAAACTGCTCCTGGACAAGGGATCTTAATGAGGTCCGACAGTGCAGAAACTCTTACCTGTTGGTGTAACTCTGACTGGCAGCGTGTTTGAATTCAAGGTCAGTTACTGGGTATATTATTAGATTTGGAGAGTCAGTGATCTCTTGGAAGTCGAAGAAGCAACAAACTATCTCTAGGAGCTCAGCAAAGGCAGAGTATAAGAGTATGGCAGCTAGCATTGCTGAAGTGACATGGTTGCTTGGTCTATTCAAAGAGTAGGTGCTAACATAATACAACCAGTTACAATTCTCAGTGACAGTAAATTAGTAATTCAATTAGCAGCGAATCCTGTGCTTCATGAAAGAACCAAGCCCATAGAGATTGATTGTCATTTTATTCGAGACAAAATCAAGGAAGGAACAGTCAAGGCAGCACATGTTTACACCAAGGAGCAACAAGCTGATCTACTGACTAAAGCTCTGGGAACAACTCAACATGTTCATCTACTTGGCAAGCTTGGAGTGTTCAATGTTTTGCACCCTCCAGCTTGGGGGGGCATATTGAGAGTCACGTGCATTACATGTGAAGGTTTCTAGTTAGTTGAGTTGTTAATTAGTTAGTTAATGGTTGTTATGGTTGTTAAGTTAAGGGTAGATTAGTCTTTTCTCTCTTAACTAATTTTTCTCCTTCTTTGTATCTTTTATATATCGACAATACTCAAGCTAATAGAACAGTGGCTCATTTCCTTCTTCTCAATGCACTGTCTTTATCCTTGCATTGCTTCTAGAAATTTCCTCTATTAGAGCTCCTCATTCATCTCTGAATTTTGGCACCAGTGGCGCAGGTTGTTTCACAGATTGTGATTGTTGAAAGAACTAATGCGAGAGCATTAAAGGAAGAATCAGTACCTCCTACTCAGAAAATACAGAAATAGAAGAATAGCAAGAAGCCAAAAGAAGCAAGTAGCAAGGTTACAAAAAGTAGCACAAAAAAGTACATCTTTGATATTGAAGAGGAAATCCATGGTTTAGAAAAGCAACCCAAGGATATGAATCCTAAGAGCAAGGAAGTTGATGAGACAAAATTGAGAGGATGAAGAGAGAGGAGGAGATAGCAAAAAATAAGAAGGCAATGGAGAGGAAGAAGAAGTTGGCCGAGAAAGCAACTGCCAAAGCAGTAATAAAATGTCAGAAAGAAGCTGAAAGGAAGTTCAAGGAAAATATCCTTTTAATTCTATCATTTCTTTCTCGTTGTTTGTGTGTGTAGGAATTTACATTAACTCTGAACTTATATGTATTATCCTTACTCCTTTCAGGAATGTGAGAAAAAGGTGAAAAAGAAAACTGGAGCATCTGTTCCTACTGAGGAACCAACTGAAGCAGCTGTGGAAGTTGCTGAGGAAGAGAAGTGGAGGAACAGGTTAAAACATCAGTTGCACCTAAGGTTAAGGCGCCGAAATAGAATACTATCAAGAGTCGACCAAAGCGTGCAAAAGGAATGGATAGTCCTAAAACTATACTGAAGCGCAAAAAGGCAATGAACTATTGGCTATGGGCTGCTCTTGCTGCTCTTGTAGTTCCACCACTACTAATAGCATATAAGTATCTTGTCTAGATAATTATGAAAGTCAAAAGTAGAGGGGGAGTAAAAGAGGGGAAAACTTGGTATTGCTTACAATTTTGTATTAGCTAGTTGCATTTTTGTAATGTTAAGTCATGCCTACTTCTTGCATCCTTGACTAAGGATGGAAAAGTCATAATGTTGCGGTCGATAAGGCTTTCTCAGATACTTACAGAAAAGAATATTTTATGCATGTTTGATTTTGGTTGGTGTAGTTTCAAGTTTTGACACTTGCCTAATTGTTAAGAACTAATTATTTGTACTAATTACATAGTTAGAAGTTAGTGGAGTCATTAGTTAGTGATGACAGCTGTACCAATCAGCTAAGTAGTTAGCAAGGTAGTTAGTGGTTAGCCGACTTAGTCTTAGCTTGGTTGCACAATTGTATATAGTGTATGTTCCACTCATTTTTCTTTTCTCATTCAATCCAGTTACATATTTCTGGAATCTTCTCCCATCTTCTCCTTCTCTCTCTCTTTGATCTCTCATGGCATGAAGATCATAGCTTCATCACCATTGAAGCTCAGCTTCAAGTAGCAGCAGAACTTCAGTTAATGTCTAGGTTGATTTTGATATGGTATCAGAGCGAGGAGCATCGATTTTGGACTCGCTTCACAAAGTTTGCTAGTTCTACTTCTGCTGCTGACTATTCGAACTAGATCGCACACATGCAAATTCATTTCTCCATTGATTTTGAGTTGTAGTTCTGAGGATAGGTTATGTTCTTACTTCTGATATGTAATTGTTTGAGAATCTGGTAAATTCCTGATCACCGTATTTTCTAGCCATCAAGTGCCTTAGCAATTTTGTAGATCATAAATATGACTACTGGTGAGGATGATAACCAATCAACACCAACTGTAACTGAGTCTCTCAACCAATCAGGTGTTGATACTAGTAGTCCTTTGTATATGCATCCATCCGATAATCCTGGGGCAGCTTTAGTTCCTACTCCATTTGATGGATTTGGTTATCGATCATGGATAAGAGGTGTGATGCGAGCATTATCTGTGAAGAATAAGTTGGGATTTATCAACGGAGAGTGCAAAAAACCAGATCTAGATTCATCAAAATTCTGCCTATGGGAAAGGTGTGATGATATGGTCATATTGTGGATCCTGAACTCTTTGACCAAGGAAATTGCAGATAGTGTTGAGTATGTAGCTAATGCATTCGAATTGTGGAGAGAACTTGAGGATCAATATGACTAAATAAATGGGACAAAGCTGTACTAAATTCAGAAGGAGATCAATGATCTATCTCAAGGATCCCTTTATATCACTAGTTATTACACAAAAATGAAAAAGTTATGGGAGGAACTTAATACTTTGATTGCCAAATCTCATTGCACTTGCAATTGTTCATGTGGAGCTAAGGAAAGTATGCATAAGGCTGAACATGATAGGAGACTCATACAATTCCTTGCGGGATTGAATGAGACATATACTGTTGTTTGAGGTAGCATATTGATGATGAATCCTCTTCCCTCGATTGCTCAAGCATTTTATTTGTTGATCCAAGAGGAAAGGTAGAGGGAAATTAAACCAAGTGGTCTTTTAGCATTGGAGTCATCAGCCTTGAATGCTAACACAGTCAAACCTGGGACACTCAAAACAAATTACTCTCCCAACAACAATCACAACAACAAGAATAGGCCTTTCTGTGATTATTGTAAGAGGCCAGGATACACCAAAGAGAAATGTTACAAACTTCATTGATACCCACAGAACTTTGGCCACAATCAGAATCTAAATACAAGTCAAAGCAACTTCAATCAAAATATTAGGCAGGATCCTAACTATAATTATAATTCAAACAACAACAACAACAACAAATTCAGTAAAGGCAATAGAACAGTGGCCAATGCGCATGTAGCAACTACTGACACTCAACCTGCAGAAACTGAGAAGTATGCCAGTCATGACAATGCTCAGAATGTGAGTCTTACCCAGAAGAGTATAGCCAGTTGGTGAGCCTGCTACAACAGTTTCAATCAGCAGGAGTAGGAGACCATAGAGTTGGAGCCAATGCTACTTCAGGAGCAACAAACTTTGCAGGTATGATAGCTTGCACTTCCTCAATTGACTTTGGTAACCTCTCATGTGAATGTTTCAAGAACAAAGCTGATTCATGGATTATAGATCCAGGGGCATCAAATAACATGATCTTCAATAGATCCTTATTAACTAACATAATAAACTTATCTTATCCCCTATTAGTCATACTTCCAAATGGCTACAAAGTAAAGGTGACAAAAATTGGTAGTGTGACTCTCACCTCTAAGATCACTCTAGATAAAGTGATGTATGTTTCCACTTTCAGATACAATTTATTCTCTGTTCACTCTTTGACCTCTCATCTCAACTATCTTGTTGCATTTTTTAAACTTTGCTGTATATTGCAGGCCCCTTCAATGAAGAGGCCTCTGGTGATTGGTAAAGTGAGATATGAGTTGTACATCCTATGCCCAGGTTGTTTGAGGAAGAACAATGCAAGCCCTGCAGAAAAGGACAATCATATACTACCTACCATTTCGACTTGTTGCACTTGTAACACACATTGTCCCTATCATTCTACTATAGATATACTAGTGCATACCAATAAGTGTGTATCTTTTTTAATTGTAAGTAGTTCATGTGCAAGTGGTAAAGAACAAACTTCTTTTGCAAGTCCATCTTCTGAATTTCCTAGCATATTCTCTCATTCTTGGGCTGAAAATAATGTGAATGTGTTGTGGCATAATAGACTTGGACATGCCCCATTTGTCAAAATGAAGAAGATTACCTCTATACCTGCTAACTTCTCTCCCAAACAACCTTTGAACTGCACCATTTGTCAAATGGCTAGACAAGAAAGACTACTATTTCCTCAGAAAACCAGCACAACCAACAAAATCTTTGAACTATTACATGTTGATTTGTGGGGTCCATATCATGTTCCTACACATGATAGACATAAATATTTTATCACCATAGTGTATGATTATAGCAGGTCCACTTGGACTCACCTCTTATCCAGTAAAAGTAATGCCATTGAGATACTCAAAAATTTCATGAATCTGGTGGAGAACCAGTTTGGTGTAACCATCAAGTCCATAAGGTCAGATAATGGACTGGAGTTTACCAACAGAGAAGGAACCATGTTTTTCCAATCTAAAGGGATCATTCATCAAAGAACTTGTCCCTACACACCACAGCAGAATGGTATGGTGGAGAGAAAACACAAATATCTTCTTGAAACAGCCAGAACCCTCATTTTCCAATCCAAGATACCCCTAAGATATTGGGGTGAATGTATCCTTTGTGCCACTTATATAATAAATAGATTACCATCCAATTCTATTAACAATAAGACACCATATGCATTACTATACAAAAAAAGGCCAAAATATTCCCACCTTAAAAGCTTTGGTTGCCTATGTTACCCTACTATACCAATGCCACATACGGACAAGTTCAATCTCAGAACAACACCTCATGTCTTTGTTGGATATCCTTTCAACACAAAGGAGTACAAATTTCTATGTCTAGCCACTAGAAAAATTTATGTTTCCAGAGATATGGCGTTTAATGAGTCCATTTTCCCTTTTAGTGTTAGTATGAATAAATCTTCTAAATCATTTGTCCCTTATCCAATTCCTTTCATTGAATCTCTAAGTGAACAACCTTCTGAGAATACAAATGTCACACAGACTCCTGAAGTCTTGAATGATCAAAGGAGTGTAGATAGCACATCTGTTTCTATGTCACCTATGCATGTAGCTAGTCCTTCACCTTCTGGAACACCTAGTTTTTCACCACCTAATGTATCATCACAACACAACACTGAACATACCAATGTAGAACAAACTAATCCAACAAGACAATCACATAGGATTCACAAATTTCCCACATACCTACAAGACTATGTCCATTCCCTACCTCAACTTAAAGCTAATTCTGCTTCCCTAAATGCTTTGTTCTCTGTGAATCACCATATTGCCTCTGATCTACTAACTCCTAATAGTCAGACTCTTGTGAGAAATGTTTGTCATGACAAGGAACCATCATCATATGAGGAAGCAACCATTGATCCTGCATGGAAAGCTGCTATGACATAGGAATTTGATGCATTACACTTTAATCACACTTGGGATTTGGTGATGCTACCACCTGGGAAGCAAGCAATTGGGTGTAAGTGGGTGTATAAGGTGAAATACAAAGCAGATGGTACCATTGAGAGGTTCAAAGCCAGGTTGGTTGTCAAAGGTTACACTCAACAGGCAGGGATAGACTATACAGAAACCTTTTCACCAGTTGTAAAAATGACAACAGTCAGGGCCTTAGTAGCTACAACAGTTAAGAAGGGATGGCCCATCTCACAGTTGGATGTGAATAATGCTTTTCTACATGGTATCTCAATGAAGAAGTATATATGCAGGTACCACCTGGGTTAGTAATAGACAAGCCAGATTTAGTCTGCAAACTGAACAAATCTCTCTATGGTCTAAAATAAGCAAGTAGACAATGGTATGCAAAACTGACTGAGGCACTATGCTCAAGATGATACATACACTCCAAGTATGACTATTAACTCTTCTATAAAAGGAATGGAAATACATCAATGTATGTTGCTGTATATGTGGATGATGTGTTATTAACTGGGACTGATCAGCAAGAGATTACACAACTCAAGAGTTTCCTACATGAGCAGTTCAAGATCAAGGATCTAGGACAACTTCATTATTTTCTGGGACTTGAAATTTTTGGATCTGCTGAAGGAGTACAATTGTCTGGAACACAAGGCTTGCTCCTCACATTTGGACCCTACTATAAAGCTAAAAGCCAAGGAAGGAACAATACTGCAGGATCCCACTTACTACATGAAATTAGTAGGCAAACTAAATTTCATAACTAACACCAGATTGGACATAGCATATAGTGTTCAACACTTAAGCCAGTTTATGCAGGAGCCTAGAGAACCTCACCTGAAAGCATCATTTCACTTGTTAAGATACCTAAAGAATGATCCTGCTTTGGGAATTTTCATGTCAAAGGATGGGGACCATACAATCAAAGAATATTGTGATTGTGATTGAGCAGCTTGCCCAGACTCTAGGAGGTCCATCACAGGCTATCTGGTCTTGTTAGGCAACAATCCCATTAGTTGGAAGTCTAAGAAGCAAGATACCATATCACTTTCTTCTGCAGAAGCAGAATATAGAGCCTTAAGAAA